AGGACACCCCCATCTCCCTCCTTACCCCATCTCAGGGTGAGGGGCTTGGGCAGACCCTCATGCTGCACATGGCAGGTGTATCTCTGCTCCTCTCCAGAAGGTACCACCACGGCTGCCCACTTCTGGAAGGTTCCATCCCCTGCAGGCCTGGTCTCCACCAGCTCCATGTCCTGGGTCTGGTCCTCCCCATCCCTCTGCCAGGTCAGGGAGATCTCCGCAGTGTAGAAGCCCAGGGCCCAGCACCTCAGGGTGGCCTCATGGTCAGAGGTGAGGTGGTGGGTCACGTATGCCTTCAGGGAGCTGCAGAGAAGAATCAGGAGATTCAGACATGGTGAAGCCCCTCCCACTGCCCAGGAAGCAGCCCTGTGTGGCCATCTGAGTGTGGACAGGACAACTGCACTGGGGCTCAGGTGTCTGGGGTGATCTATTCCTGGGGAAGGTTGTGGATTGAGGGTGAGATCCAGGTCTCTGAGGGGAAAACAGGGACTTCTCACTCTGAGTCCTTTCCAGGACTCAGAGTAACTGGAGTCAGCTCTCACTCATTTGAGGGGAGAGGTGGTGACGAGATCAAGGCCTGAATGGTCTGGGTGGACAGAACAGCAGCCAGAGTCCCTGTGCCCTGCTGACGGTGACTTCAGGACCATCCCCAGTGTATTCCCAGAGACTGAGCCTTCACTATCTGAGAGGAGGGGGCTCTGGACGAGTCAGTCTCTGGTGCAGGATCTGAAAACCAGGAGGCCTCTGCTGGACAGAAGTGAGGGGCTTCCTTATTTTGGTGTCAATCCCGGTTTCTTTCTTTCTTTCTTGTTTCTTTCTCTCTCTCCATTTATTTTTGTTCATTTGCTTATTTTTGTTTTGTTTTTATGTTTTTGCCATAGGGCATGCACTTGCCAGGGTGCAAGATACAGAGACAGTGAGAGGGAAAGTGAGAAATCACCCGTGGGAGGTAGGGGGGGAGGTTGGGGGATGGCCACAGGGCATTCCTCCTCCTCCAGCTCCTCCCTCGATTTGGGGCACACACAGATGTCCTGAGCTGATTTTCCAGCCACCTGTGTAGGTCTCACACAGCTGCCAACCAAACCCCACTTTCTTCCCCTCCGTGTGGGACAGCAGCCCCAGCAGGACAGGAGACCCAGGCACCCCAGTGGCCCTCATACCTGTGCGCTGCAGCATCTCCTTCCTGTTCTCCACGTGGGTGCCCAGGCACTGCACACACTCCCCCTCCAGGTAGGCCTGACTGGGTTGCCCAAGCAGCTGCCTCCCACTTGAGCTGGGAGATCTGAGCCGCATGGTCAGCCCTGGTCCAGGAGCGCAGGTCCTCGTTCAGGGTGGTGTAGTCCTGGCCATCCTAGGCGTCCTGACTGTACCCGCGGAGGAGGCGCCCACTGGGCTCCACATCGCAGCCACACATGCTCGGAGGGTGTGAGACCCTGGACCTGACCCCGAAGCGGACACCCCATTTAGTCCTGACCTTGTCGGCTCCGGCCCCACAACCCCCACTCCTGTCCATTCCCCCGGATTTCGGCCTAAACTGAAAGGAAACCCGAAGGTCTCCCTGGGCTCTTTGAGACTGAGGGTCTGGGCAGG